AGAGGGAGGGAGAGAGAGGGAGAGGGAATTATTTACTGTGTCTGTTCGTGGTGAAACTATTATAAATTACTTCAGTCAAATCTAAGTAATGTAAATAGCCAGTTATAAGAATGAAAATTTAAATTATTGGTGTTTTTGCAAGTCCTGGGTTTGATTCCCAGAACCACAATAAAACATTGCTTTAAAATTGCTTAGACTTTAGAAAAATTCTTATTTGGCACTTTTGAAAGATGGCTGGTGTTACCCATTTATTGCATAAAGAGCCACCCATGCTTCTCACGAAGTTAAGGAAGTAATGTCCTGAAGAAGGGAAATGTCGTGTAGAGAGCTGCACGAGGCTTAGGGTTCAAGTGTGAGTTCCCCGGTGCCCGTGGCTTTCTCAGTGTCACTGTGGTTGCTTTGCAGCGTGTTCTGGGACCTCTACTGTGCAGCTCCGGAGAGACGGGAGACCTGTGAGCACTCCAGCGAAGCCAAGGCCTTCCACGACTACGTAAGTGGCTTGTTCTTGCTGAGCTGCGGGCTGGGTGCCTTTCTCGCCGCTGTTTTTGAAAACTGCCTGGGTCAACTATTCCTGTTCTGGCACTTAATGAACTGGTTGTTCTTTTCTCTTTTGCTTTCCTTGAAAAATGGACTCATACTTTAAAAATGAAATGCCAAGGAGTGTTTAAGGCGTGCAGAAGCTTAGGCTGGACAGTAGGCCTAAGTCCACGCTGTGAAAGGTGTTTCTTACTGTGTTTGGCTTGTGTAATTCCAAATTTGGAAAAGTGAAATAGTCATTCTTTATTGTCCAAAGAGAGTTGTCATTTCTGGAAATATAATAAGCTCTTATTTTGCATATAAGATTTTTTTAAATGAAGAAATACTCTACTCTCTTTTTATAGCTGTATCCTCTCCACAGAATTCAGTTCCACAAATGAAATTTATCATGGATTAATGAAAATACCAGACAGTAGAGCAGAAGATTCTAGGCAAAAATAAAAATGTCAATTTATTTTTTCTTAAATTCCAAAGGAAGGGCAGTCTTTGGCTTAAAGATTTTTGAGAAGTGCAAGTCTGATTTTAGATAGCTAATTATATCAGGAAGTACAATAGGAAAAGAGAAACAAAATAAGGAGAATTTTCTTTAGGGAAAAACTTCCTATGAGAATGAGGAGATGGCACCGTGAAACGTGTGGGAAGACCCTGCAGGCTGGCCACAAGAGGAAGATGTGCGCTAGGGTGCGGGAAATCCACCCTTGGAAGTAGAGTGGGGGCTGATGCCTGAGGAAGTGCCAGGTCGCAGTTCCTAAGCTGAAACGGAGGGATGCTGCCTGGTTGCTAGAGAGGAGGGGACATTGTGTGCAAAAGTCCTCGCAAACCGAGACCGGGCTCAAAAGGGAGAAAGACCTTGTTCTTGTAACAAAATAACTGGGTCCTAGACCAAAGAGTGGAATTGGCCAGAATCAGAATTGCCAGAGTAGCACGGGAAGGGTATGGAGGCTGTGTAACTCACTAGAGAAGCACTAACCGGTTGCTCGTGCTGACCTTGTCCGATACTGACTCTCCTTGTAAGCTCCCTGTCCACTGATCAGGGAGAGTGGAAAGGTGCACTGCACATCAAGAGAAAGCAGCAAATGGGCAGATGAGGGCAGATGAGGACTCAGTGTTTATCTGAACGACCTTGCTTTTACTTATTTTTGTTCACCCTTGGGTGATGGCAGAAAGTAAAGTGGAGACCCAGTCAGGGAGCATAGGCATCTATCTGGGTTTAACGTGCCCCCAGCTCCTCTGTCCCTCAGACCAGGACAGACATGCGACTTCTGGCCTGCCAGCCACAGAAGTTTGTTGAGGTGACTACTGATTTTGACAACCGGGTGGCCTGAGATAGTGCCAGTGCTGTACTCATGAAGGAGATAAATGGTGGGCAGTCTGCAGGTTAAGGCTTAAAATTCCATTCCTGAGAAAGATGCACACTGCTGCTCTCGGTGGGGACCTGGTGAGCAGCCCTTCCAGAAGCATGAGCCAAGCCATGGTCTGCTGTCATGGCTTCTTCCATTGTCTTCCAACTTCCAGGGCTACTCATAGCTAGGAGGTTGAGAAATCCACTTGCTGCTTTCAGTGTTTTTGAAAATGAACATTGACCAGAGGTAGGAGTGAAATAGAGGAGATTTCAAAGGAAAAGCAACATCTTACTATGTAATTCAGTGTTTGGATTTTGTAATACATTACAAATATTAGCACATTTAATGCTAATTGTGTGTTTAATTTTATCTTAGATGTTAGTGTTCATAGAGTCAATTTATTCTTAAGTGGCATTTTTGTTACATCTTTAATCCAGTGGCTTTTCAGGGGTAATGCATCTCTGACTTTTTTAAATTAGAGGTCGGTGGAAGGATAGAATTTGATTTCTATAATTTTATATATCTTAAAATTTGAGTTTTTTTCTTCAAAATATATTTGTTTTCTGTTGCTCACTTTTATAATTCTCGTGAGGATTTCCTAAATTCTGTTTTTTGGTTTTATTTTTTTTTTTGGTACCGGGGATTGAACTCGGGTCCTTGCGCTTGCACAGCAGGCAGCAAAACCACTGAGCTAAGTCCCCGGCCCTTTGCATTCTTAATAGTGGACAGTTTCTGAAAATGATGAACATAACATGACTAATGTGTAATTATAGAGGTTTTAAAGACTTGGGGATGAAACTAGGAGAGACAGGAACAAGCAGTAAGATTTTGGTAAAATTCAGTCCATTACAGACTCATTCCCATGGCAGACATTAATGTTTACCTGCCAAATTGTAACAAACTTCTTAAGGAAGTAGTCTGAAAAATATTTTCTTCAGTTGTTGCACTCTTTGAAATAAGAGACATATGCACTTTCACTTGCATGTATAAATTTCAACATGTTTAGAAGTTACTCTTGTTATTTCATATGTAGTTTTTTCTTATTTATATGATTGAGTGTATAAATGTATAATAACAAAGTACTTTTTAAAAGATAAGTTGGAAGCATAATGGGGTAAAAATGAACAATATTTTTAATTAAAAATAGTCTAACATGTTAAAGTGACTTATATTAGTATTAGGTTTATGTATGATTTTTATTTTTGTCTATGTAGTTTATATAATTTTCAAATATCTATAATTGATATAAATTTTATATTTAGGAAAGTTACTTTAAAACAGATTATTTTTCACCTTTTGGTGAGTTCTGATTTTTCTTTTGAGATTAGAAAACAAAAACTTTTGCAAACTAAAATTTAAATTTGAAGGGGGTTGTAGATTTTACTACAGACATGCTGTATGCGTGGGCATTTAGCATTTCTCATTACAGATGTTGTGTTGGCTTTTGATGTGTACTTAATGAAAGACATCTCTAATCTGCAGAGAAATCTCAACTCAATTTTCAGCACTCCGTATTTTATTTTTAACCACCTTATTTGTTATTGGCATAGGCATAGGCAAAGCTGTAGAAATGGTGTGCACAGCTTGGTGTGTTTGGAGATAAGAATACACTCATGAAACCGCTCTCACATTCAATGCGATAAATTAATCATCTTTAGACTTCCCCTTTTCTTGTTTTTGTTTTCCTTTTTGCAGTAAGAATACCTAACATAAGATATACCTTCTTAGCAAATTTTAAGTACACAATACAGTACTGTAATCATATTCCCTATGTTGCACAGTGGGTGTTCAGCACTTATTTCTGTCATGTGATTGAATATTGTGCCCTTCGACCAACGCCCAGCCATTTCTCCCTTCTTCAGTCTCTGGCAGCTCAACATTTTTGTTTCTGCTTCTATGATCCTGGATTATTAGATTCCACATAAAACTTGAATCAGGCGGTATTTGTTCTTCTGCAACTGGCTTATTTCTTTTAATGGTGCCCTCAGTGTTTACCTTTGTTATCAGAAGTGACAGTATTTGCTTCCTTTTTAAGGCTGAATTCTATTCTATTGCATTTTCTTTATCCATTTATCCATTAGTGGACATTTAGATTGATTCTATATCTTGCATATGGTGAGTAATGTTGCGATGAGTATGGGAGTGCAGTTATTTGTTGGCAATTCAGTTTCTTTGGATTGATACCTAGCAATGGGATTGCTGAACCAAATAGTAAATCAATTTTTAATCTTTCGAGGAACTTCTATACTGTTTTCATAGTGGTGGCACCAGTTTACATTCAGACTGACCAAGTACAAGAGTTTCTTCTTCTCCAAATCTTTGCAAAGTTTGTCCTCCATTCTATAATTTTAATAACTTTTTATGATTACTATTCCAGATATAGTTTTGGCTTTTGATTTTTAAATTTTGGAATTTTTTCCCTGATAACTTTCTGCTAGAGTATAGATTTTTGTTACTTTATTATTTTACTTGCCAAATGATTGTAGATGCAGTGTTAATATCTTTTCCTCAAAAGAAATCACCCTGTGCACACTTACTGTAAGAGAAAGAGGACCCGTTTGAGATAAACGAAACCTTAATTTTCTTGTATTTATATTTTAAAGTATAGGAAGTTAAATATTTAGCATCTGTATGCAATCTAAATGTAAAATAAAGGTGCATTCAGAAATAACAATGAGTAGTACATAGAGATGCACTTTTGAAAGACCAAGCTATGCAATTCGCAAGGAGCTGACTCCAAGCCGGTCTGTGGTTCCTGTGGTGGTGAGAAGGGTTTCTGAGGGTGACTGTGGTGGGATCCGGCTTCTCCTCTCCTTGGCACTGGTGCCCGGTGCCAGTTACAAGTGTGTTTGCTTTGTAACATCTTATAGTACCAGGAGCATTCTTCGTGTATCTTTCTATATTTACGTTTTTACTTTAAAGCAGCAAGACTCCGCAAGCCACAGTTAAGATGATTAACTTCAGGGACTCGTGTGCACAGCCATTTTCAGTGCGAGGCTTCCCAGCATCGCTGTGGTTCCTCCTTGAACGCCAGGAGCAGGACACATAGGATGATTCCAAGCAAAGCCAGGTGTTTCCTAGAGGCCTCAGTCTGTTAGGAAGGATGTCTGCCTGTTGATTTTCCAGAGAACGGAGAGGGAGATCAGAAATGTTGAGGAAAAGATTAATACTTGGGGTGATTTCATACGAGAAGATAGAGATTTTACCATAGACTGACAGTGTTGCCGCATGAGGGGGAAAGCGATCTTGGCTCTGTTGTTTCCCTGCTGAATTAAGAGCAGGTTCATCTGAGTTACAAAATCATTTTCACATATTATTAGTAAAAACAAAATTATCATAGAAGTAGTACCTACTAGCTAGCTTGTGAAGTTTACCGGGCTACATTTTGTTTCCTTTCCATTAGTGTGTTTTTTATTTGACTCTGAAATCATAAGCCGTGTTTTTATCTGGAGTGAATGTTTACAGGTTTTTTTGTTTGTTTTGCTACAGCTTAATGTATAATTGCTTTATTTAACAATTCATTTATTTCCAAAATATTATACTATTACACTTTTAATGAAGAATTACCATGATTATATTTTGAGTTCTTTTGTGTGAATGGAAGATTGCT